TAAACGCCCTAACACCAAATTCATACCTGAATTTTGCAGGAACTTCATTGACTTTATTCACATGCATAAGCAAAACCTTGAAATGTCTATATTCTTTTTCAGTTTGGTTTTTATGGCAATTATGAATTTGTGTTCTTTAGATACAGTCATTCTTTTCATAATAAATATAGCAATATTCTCTGCTTCCATAGAGAAGGAGACTGTCTTACAATTTTCTTAAAATAAGTGGTCCTCAGTTTAAATGTTCTTTTCCTCCATTGATGATAAAGGTATAAAAGCAGAAAAATGTTAGAAAAATAGAAGAGAGGTTAAAGTGGCAGCTGACACTCAGCCCAGGACTGCAGGGTGGGGTGGAGGCTGAGCAGACAGGAAGCATCTATCTTCACTTAAGGCCACTCTTGCCATGTGAGCCCCAGGTTGCCAGTCATCTGATTTTATTTAAAAAGAAGCTGAAATCAGATTTTTATGGGAAACTACACTTAAAATTTTTTTCAATTAAAAAAAAAATCACTGAGCTCTGTCCAGGTAGCTCAGTTGGTTAGAGCATTATGGTAATACACCAAGATTGTTGGTTCTATCCCTGGTCAGGGTACATTTAAGAATCCACCAACGAATGCATAAATAGGTGGAACAAATCTCTCTCTCTCTCTCTCTCTCTCTCTCTCTCTCTCTTCCTCTCTCTCTAAAATCAAGAAATAAAAATAAATCACTGCTCATATAAACAAAGCTTTCAAGGTGGCTGGGCATAGATGGTTGCCTATATCATGAAATTTGTTTGGGGGATAGTTATAGCCCCTCTTAGGGACAGGCTGTCTTCCTTTCAAAGGGCTGAAAAGCAGGAGCAGGGAACAGGTCAGAGCATTCCGCCAGGACCACCCAGGAATATTGAGATCACATGGTGCAGGGAGGTTAGAGGGCTGTAGCAAGACCAGAGTAGAAAATACAATCAAATAATCCCCATCAGTGAATGCCACAAATAATTGCCCTAGATATTTTGCTGTCTGAATCTCAATGCTCCCAACTGGCTTATACTTACTCATATTTCTTGGCTTGATATGCTAGATTCATGGCCCAGTGTTGATATCTGCTTTTGGTCCACTTAAGCGTTAAGGTTCCTTTTTCTGGCATTTTTGACCCACCTCTCAATTTTCATGTATGGTTTATGGCTCTGCTTATACTATAATTTGGGGGTACTCTCAAGCCTTGGACAAGAATAGTGCACTCCAGTTTGTAGCTCTGCAGACCCCATATCTGACACATCCAACTCAGGTCTCCTTATGCAGAAGACCAGTAGGGATAGATTCAGGTAATTGGAGTTTGAAGAACATCTCAATTGGTAGATTAGGTTACCTTAGTGTACTGAGGAATAGCGGAAGGTTTTCAAACAGGGAAGGAGCAGTTACATGACATTCGCTTACTTGAATATGTTTTTCCAGGTTGAGGCATTTTCAAGAGTATATTGAGGCATCTACAATGTGCATGCCTCATTAAAAATCTCAGCGAGAACATTCTGTTCTTCTGTAGCTCTAGCCATGGTCTCTGGGTTCTCATTTTGGCATTTTCCCTTGGGTAAATGTCATCTCTTCTCAGTTTATTTGTAGTTAATTTAGAGCATCAAAGCAACAATAAATTCCCAAAATAGGGAGAGATGCTCTGATGATCAATGGGATACATGAAAAGCATTTTTATACAAGAATGAAAATGAAGAGGGTGGTATTAATATAATGTCCCACAACCACCCTCATTCTCTCCATCAACCCAATATGTGTTTTTTCCTTCAAGACCATGCCTAAAGTATTTTTCTTCTGCAAAGCCTTTTCTGACCAAATCTACCACATTTTGATACAGGAAGAACTTCACATTCAAGGCTAGGAGATGACATTGTACAGATTTTGGAATAAGACAGATCAAGATTTGAATCACAGTTCTGCTATTTACATTATCCAAAATAAAGGTCAAATAAATCACCTACATTATGAAGCTTTCAATACTGTGGTATCACTGTTGATTTTTTTTTAACCAAACACCAGTCCCCCACTATTTTCTTGTTATAAACAACCCTGATTTGTTCATATATCCAGTGGAAATTCCTTAATCTCATGAAAGGTGGATCTAACTCCTGATCCATAGTGGTCATGTGACCCAGTTCTGGCCAATGAGATATATTGGGATGTCTGATGGGGACTTCTGGGAAAGATTTTTCATTCCTGAGGCAAGTTCCTTATCTACCTTCTTCCTGCTTTTAAACTTGGTTGTGTAAGGATACTTTTTACATGATACTTTTTACTGTGAGAGGCAGAAAAGTGCAAAGAGCTCTGAGTTATGGAGCTGCCAATCAAATGTCAGCAATTCCCACTCCCTTTTCCAGTTCCCAGACTTCTTATCAGGCAAGAAAAAGTAACCAGTCTTGAGTAAAGGCCCTACTAGCTGGCTGCTCTTTGGCTCACTATTGAAAGCATTCTCACTGTTATAATTACCTATCTCATATAGTACTATCAAAACTTAAGTGAGGAACCCAATTGGAGACCTGGAATATTCTATTAATGCTTATAGAATTCATTTATTTACTCAACACTGTTCATGAAGGTGCTCAATTTGATAATGTCTCTTTCAAAAGTTCTTCAAGTTATAGAATGAGAAGGATGTTCATGATTCAGAGTATTTGTTGCTTACTCATCAAATATTTGCCAAATGCTACCTATAGTGTTAAGCACTAGGGAGATAATGATGAGCCAATAATAGGCATCATCTCTGTCCTTATGGAGCTTAGAGTCTAGTGGAAGGGGATGGTCAATGATCAAACACAACACAAACGAATGTGAGATTACAACTGTGATAAGTGTTTTCAAGAAGAGGAGCATGATGCTATGTAAATAGATAATGGAGAAATGTATCTTCCCAATATACCTGTCCCTGACCTGGGAGAGCCCAACAGGCTTTCTCGAGAACCAGATGATTGAGCAGGTTGATCTGAGGGCAGATTAGGAGACAGTTAGAGAAGGAGAAAAAAAAAAAGCAAGAGTTTTAAGGAGATAGAAGAGTAAATGCAAAGACCCTGGGCAAGAGGGAACATATGTGTTTGTGATCTGTACTTTTATTTTATGAATTAATTTTATTTCTATTGAAATTATATATGTGTGTATATAAACTATATATGTATATAAAACTATATACATAGTTTTAAAAATCAAATAATTATGCCTGAGTAATAATAATGAAAATAATATTAACATTATTGAAAAAAATAATCCTTGCTTTATTCTTCCCCACATTCCAATTCTATTCCTAAGAGGCAACCATTTATTTTATTTATTACTGTATCTTCTTTAAAAATAAAATTCTAGCCTTTACTTCCAAATTTTTAAATAATATGCCCATTGGTTAACCTAGAACACATGTCCAATTTTGCTTTCTATATCTTTATGAGGTTTTACAGGCTAAATAGTCCTGATCCTCAGCACCTACATATGTTCATGTTCACCTGTCTTGGCTGGGTTAAGTCGGTTCTACTCCTTTAGTCAGTTTGCACTTTTCAAATTTTGTTGTCATCTTTAACCTTCTCATTTCCTCTCTTATTTTTCTATCACTGGGAAAGGATTAAGCAAAAAAGAAACAATAAACAAACTCATAGACACAGACAACAGCATGGTGATTAACAGAGGAGAAGGGGTGTGGAGGGAGGTAGAAGAGGGTATAGGGGGATAAATGTGATGGAAGGAGACTTTACTTGGGGTGGTAATCACACAATGCAATCTACAAATGGTGTATTGTAGAATTGTATACCTGAAACCTATATAATTTTATTAACCAATGTCACCCCAATAAATTCAATAAAAAAATAAAAGAAATATACCTCCAAAAACAAACAAACAAAAGAGGGAAGTAAGGCCCAGTTGGTGTGGCTCAGTGGTTGGAACCAGGAGCTCATGGTCTGATTCATAGTAGGGGCACATGCCTGGGTTGCAGGCTCAGTCCCCAGTAGGGGGCATGCAGGAGGCAGCCAATAGAGGATTCTTTCTCATCATTAATGTCTCTATCTTTCTCTCCTCTTCCTTCCTCTCTATAAAATCAATAAAACCATTTTTTTAAATAAGGAAGTAAGATAAAGACATGCATTCAATGCACCATGTTTTTACAGGCCCATGTTTTTACAGGCTTTCTGTTGAAGAGTTCCCCATGGCCAGCCCAAACAACAGAAATGTGTGCTATCCTGAAGGAAATATGCAAACTTCAGCTAGCTGCTGGCTGAATTTCACGCTGCTAGTTCAAGAGCTTTCATGAAATCTGTAAGTGTTCATGCAAATATGCATATCCATGCTACCACGAAACACAGAAGTGGCTTCAAACTGCAAGGGAACTGCCACTTAATGCTCAGTTGGTTAAGTTATAATCTCTACAGTATTATATTTCAAATTCAGGTATCTAGGTACGTTTCATTCTTCCCAAAGTTTCTTCTTATGGATAATTGGTGATTAAACAACTTAGTGTTTTTACAGTGCAAAACAACCTATGAGATACCACTTATCATTGACTCCACAGTAAATTTGATGGCAGATCTATTGTAATAGCCCTGTATATGATAACATGTAGTGGGCAAACAGGCAAACAGGCACTTTGGGAACCACTGCTGTGCTTAAGTATTTATGGATACAGATGTTTATGGAGAAATACTCTCATGATGGGTGTGGCAGGAACTTTCACATTCATTTACAATTCTTCTGCCAAAAGAACTAAAATAAAGGTAACAATTTAAAATGGTCCCTGAGGACCTTCTCCTTCACCAACCTAAACCCATCAGTACAGCAGTCGGTAGCCAATCAGGGGCACTAAGCTATCGAATCAAAGTTGACACATTTTGATAAAAGCTTCTGGATAATTTTGGAAATGGCTTTATATTAAAGATGACAGATTGACCTACACTTGTTTATTTTCACTGTCTCCTGAAAACTATAGTAATGAAAAAAGGATAAAGCCACAGGAACAAAGAGGATGGAGAAGAGTCATCCACAAAAGATATATTTCAACACAATTCTGGAAGATGGGGCAGATGGAAGAGTGGAAACTGATTTAACAGAACAGTGGACGGCACACTCTAATGCAGAGGTCAGTACAGAAATAGCTCAATTACCCTATAAACTCCCAGCATCCGCTGGGTCTTGGAGATGCCATAGACCATCACAGGGAGGTGCTGCTGAGAGGCCCAGGGATTCCAAAACTGAAGGAGAGATGAGAAGCAGGGGGCTGAGTGAATGTGGGCATTTGGAGTTGTTAGATCCTCAGGTCCCCACTCCACTCCTTGCAGACAGGTGATTACAACTCCAGCAGGAGAAACATTAGAGATGCTTGTACACCAGGCAGCAACAAGGACAGGGGTAATGTACCTTTCCTCTCAACCTCCTCCAGAATATTGGCAGCCAGGTGAACGTCCCTTTAGGAAAGAGATACAGATATTTCTTCTGAGAAATTGAAGAGCCCAAAAGATCAGACCTCTCATTTCTGACATTTGGGGGCTCTTCCTATGGAAGGACCAGTTTTCACCCGATCACCATACGTCAAACCTACCGACGTGCAGGTACACTCCTTCTCACCCCCTATAGATAGAGTCTCTGGTGGGTTCTATGACTTTCTTCTTAAGTATGAATAGTCAAAGGTTTGCAGGCATTTGAGGAAAGCCTCTAACATGATGGGACTAAAACAAATACATGGGGAAAAAAGGAAGCAGAGAGAAGGCAAGAAGCAGAAAACCCTATAGTAACTGTCCTCAAAAGAGAGAAGAAATTATTCCAACCATAACATGTTCATAGAAATCTATTTTAAAAATAACATAAAACACCCTGGCTGGTGTGGCTCAGTTGGTTGGGCATTGTTCCGTGCACCAAAAGGTTGTTGGTTCGATTCTGGGTCAGGGCACATGCCCCGGTTGCAGGCTCCATCCCCAGTGGGGGATGTGCAGGAGGAGGCAGCTTGAATGTTTCTCTCTTACATTGTTTCTCTCTCTCTCTCTCTCCCCTACTCTCTCTCTAAAAAGCAACAAAAACATTAAAAAATAACATAAAATATGAAAAGAGTTCTTAGAATAGCTGAGATAAAATCATCAATGGAAAGTAAAGTAAGGAACTATTCCCCCAAATAGAACAAAAGATGAAGAGATGTCCAAAGGAAAGGAAAAAAAATTCTAAGATTAATCTAGAGGATTCAATATCCAACTAAGAGTTTCAAAAAAGAAATGAGTGGACAATAATCAAGGACTTACTATGTGTTTAGGCACTATTCTAAGTGGCTGAGCTATATCAGTGAGGAAATTACTATTATTACTTCCATATAATATATATAAAAATACATATATATATTCTGTTGCTATAAATGAGGAAACTGAAGCACAGCAAGAATAAGTGTCTTGCCCAAGGTCATGTAGTAGAGGCATGATTTGAACTTAGGCAAATCTTTGCCATTGACCCAGTACATAATTATGAAATTTCAGAATATAAGAGGTAAAGGGATTCTTCTAAAAGTTTCCAGAAAGAAAAATTGCAGGTCACAAAAGAATGGGATAAGGGTAGCATTGAAATTCTCAACAGCAACATTGGATGCTAGAAGATAAAAGAGCAATTTCTACAAACTTATAAATGAAAAATTTCAATTTAGAAACCTCATCTCCATTGGACAGGAGGACAGAAGACTTGGAGGGATGTTGCGGGGGTGGGGGGTGGGGAATAAAATTGATTGTTTGATCATTTGGAAAATAAAATTGATAGTTATTTGATCAACATGTTGTAGAAAAAATATCAGGTGGGTGCATAACAAAGTAAATATATAAAAGATTTTATAAGAAGGAAAACAACCATAGTTCGCCAGTTGGCTCCGCTGACTGGTATACACAGTCACCAGCTACTTACTACCTCTAAACTGTGATAGAGCTGTGTGCGAAGAATGGCAGAAGGGGAAGCTGGGTGGGTGTGAAAAAGCTGCATCTTTATCTGAGGCAACAGGTAGTCAACGTAGGACATCTGAACAGATAAATCAAGAGATAACCATGAAATTTATTGATAAGTCTGGAGGTAAATGACAAAAGAGACAGATAAAAGTGGAATGTGGTTGCCTCTCAGAAGGTGATTAAGAAGGTAAAGAAGAAGTGGGTAATGTATATAACCTTAAAATATTATATTACCTTTAAAAACTGTGTGTACTTCCAATGTCTTTAAAAAGTAAGAAAAACTTTTGAAATTCATTTGCTATAGGTGAAAACACGGAACAACCAAACATCGTTTCACAATGCAATTTTTAGAAAACATCTGATCCATAAAGATTAAAAGTTGTATGAACTCTCGCAATGTAACATGGAATAAAATATGGTAAGCTTTTCACATCCCCCTTCAGTTCCACAATTCATAAGTATGGGCTAGATCCCTATAAAAAATTTTCAAAACACACTTTGGGAGCAGTGATTACAAGTGAATTGCACCTTTGCTAGTTTGGAGTTGTTTCCAACCAAGTGAAGCAGAACCACAAAAAAAGTCAGCTTCATCCTGAATTGTTTCCGTAGCAACCATATTAACCTGGAAGGATAAAGCACCTTTGTAGTCACAGCTTCTATTGAATTACAATGTCAATGTTGATGTCTGCCTGGAAACGTCAAAAAGACAACAGGCTTATGGAACAGTGGTAGTTTGCAGCTCTGGAATCCCAAGCTGCAGAGGTGAGATGAAAAAAGGTGCGCCAGGGGCCAATTTATGGTCTGTTCAACCAAATCTCCTCACCCCACCGAGATCATCTGCCCAGCTCACGAAAGGATGCTCACCTCTTAGAAAAGCTGTAATCTACTGGGCATATTTTACACCAAATTGGGGCACGAAAAGTGTTGGTTGTGGGTATGTTACAAATGAAATCACGCAACAAACCCGGCAATCGTTGTGTTTTCCCCTCCTCTGAGCACAAAGTAAACTTCAAACTCTTCGGAAACCGTCGAACAGTCCTCTCCATGGTGGGCACGAAAAAGCCGAGTGGTTGCGCTGCGCCTTGGATTCCGGTTGGCTGGGGATCCCGAGTTCAGCTCTCCTTAGTCCTTCCGTTCGACCCATAATCCCTAGTGGTTGCAGGTGTTGCTTTTTTTTTTCCTAGTTCCTTC